AGCCCTGGCTTCTACTGAGTTCTAGGAAGTTTTGTTCGAAAAAAAAAACACGAGACATGCATTCTGATTTAATCCTTGTTATCATAAAAAAAAAATTCTGTCTCATAAAAGTGAAGTATAGAGTTTTGCAAGAGAAAAATCGTTGGTCTTTGCGAGTGTAGATGTGGTTGAAGATAAGACCTATCCCCATCTACATCGACATCCTCACAATTTCTGCTGATCCCTACAATCATTTGGAAAATGAAGGAAAACTTTGTCAGACAACCTTTGAACTATCCATTATAAATTCAACACCTTTTATCATTGTAAAATCTTTGTTTAGTATCAACATCTATGATTCATCAACAACAATTATGTCCTGATCAATGTCATCAAATTTCATCTAATTCAACAATAACAAATTTTACTATTGATTATATTTTATTTCAAAAGCAAACACTTCCAGACGAACAACAAACAACAACATTAAATAATACTTTTTTCCATATAGTACAAGACAAAACTCAAACATTCATGAATTATTATCTAGAACAAGGAAATATAACTAAAACGGATTGTGCACAACAAACAGTTAAAATATGTCAAAATGATGCACAAACACAAACTAATGTTATACTAACAACAGGAACAACAACAAATGAATGAAGAACAAGAACAAGGGTGTGGGGTGGGTGTGAGTCTCGTTTTCATCTATAGTCACACTCACATCCTACAAAACGTAAATAACTGGATTTTATAAAACCTGATCAAAGATTTTGAGAGTCAAGAGCTCGTAATCTAAGTATTTGCTTAGCCAAAATTTTCAAGTTTGAATTTTTCTCTGGCGACAGATCTATTTTTCACAATTCGCTTAATATATAGAGATAGATCTTTCTTGATTGAAAGAATCGAACTCGAGATTTTGACAAATCTTCTGTAGATTCAGGTTCATCAATCCTGAAAACCATTCACCAAGTTTCATAAGATATTATTATTTTCGAAAAATAATCTTGTCTCGATCGAAAATATCGATTCTGTATTATATTTTTCTCACTCCCGTTTTCTTATTTTTCACAACTCTGTGACCATCTCAGCATCTATTCTTGTGGGCCAAAATACCTTTCTTTTTTAATACATGAACACTTTTTCTGTAGCATTCAGTCTAATTCGGTGCATAGATATTATTCCAACAAATTGTAAAAGAACTCTAAATAATAATCTATCACACGATGTTGTAGTCGGTAACAGTAAACGTCCAGTCTTGACATTCTTCGAGCTTTTGCATGGTGTTTTTTTTTCAAAAGATTGATTAAATACTTTTTTGCTAATGTCGAAAACTATTTTCATTAGGTCAAAACTCATCATAGTATATTTGATATATTTTATCATATCACGTAATATTATCAAAACAAAATTGAATCATTGCTTAGCATTGTAATTAATCATAGATTTATTCCTATTTTTTAGTATCGATAGCATATATTTCACACAAATAAAAAAACATGGAGCGCAGACTTAGTATATAATTAATTAATGATGTTCGTGTCTAACAAATAGTTCATAAATATAGCTAATATAGATTTTTTAGTGCTAGAAATGATTGCTTACAGATAGATGTTAAGAGAGAGAGAGAAATCGGACGGAAATGAATAGCGAATGGCACTCTAATAGTAAAACAGGATTCTTTTGCCATTACTGTAGTGATTGAAACTAATTGATTTGAATGATATAGGGTTAGAAAAGAAAAATAAAGAAGAATGAATCATATCGACCTGAACGTTTCGACCGGTCAGGAAAAAACTTTAGCGGTTTCATCGCTGCTATCACTTTTGAATTTAACATGTAATATAAATAAATGATTACTATTGATTTTATCAAGATTTTTATGCTATGGATAGATGCTACTGAAAGACATTTTATTCGATATTTCTACTCAATAAATATCGTCAGTATTTATCGTATTTAGCATTAATTTCACAACCATTCTCTCGATTAAAGAAGAAAAAAACTTCAGTCTTTGAAGAGTGTATTATTATGACAGTGTTGCATTAAAGAAAAATACAACATCCATTTTTTTATTCCAATCACCAACAAACGACTCTTCAATTATTACTTGTCATGCTGTAGGAAGCACACGACGCTTGATAGTAAATTTGCATATGTTATGGATTAATCGAGCTAACACTATTATTTATTAATGTGTTCTATAAACCAAATAACTCGAAATTTAATTCAAACTGTCGTGTGTAATTTCTCAAATAACACTTGTAAATTTTTTAATTTGATGAATATATTGTTTATTTTTATTTTTTTTTGTTACTGTTGACATAATAGAAATTTAACAATAGGAAAAACTATTCGTTTTTTATTTGGTTCAAGATTTGACAGAACAGCTATTATACTTCTAATGACAAAAAAAAGTGACAATCTATTTATTCTAAAAGAATAAAAAAATGGGCGAAGATGATGAAAATGAATCGAATTATATATTTCGTAAGAAAATATTTCTTTTCGTATCTAATATAAAACTCAAATTATTTTATTTTCTTAAAACATGATCGTCGACAAGTCATCATAATTCAAAAGAATGTTATTTTTGTCTTTTTAGTTTTCATGTGTTTTTTTTTTTCTTTAATAAGTAATCAATAACAAAAAGAACACATTGACAAGAATCGTTGTCTATACACTAAGCAACAAAAGAATATATTTCAACAATGATTATTTAATCCAATATGTATAGGAATAATATTAATACAGTACCAGCAAATATTTTGTCAATGGAAGCGAATACTCAAATATACTTTGTTTCAGATTTGTATTGGAAACGCTGGTACTGTGTCCTAAATATCAAAGTACCTCAAAGTATCACAACATAGATTTGCTTAATAAAAATCAAAGGACTAGTTAATTAAATACACATAGATGGAATGAGATCATGCTCTTTGATTAGGGAGAACTGAGGCTCTAACTCTCACCACAAATCGAAACTACACTCGGTTTCTAGAAAATTTTCTAACACTTTCTGCCAAATTTTTGAAAACTTCATAATAAATTCTAGTAGAAAGTCGCATAAAAATATTTTCTGTTAATAAAACCCCGCAGAAAGTCGATTTATTTAGTATTCTTTGTTCGATTTCTGCTAGTGAAGTCAGATAAGGTACTTTCTGCCAACATTTTTGCTCCTTCCACTTTTCAAAAGATAATCGAGAATCATGAATTAGATCTAAATATATGATAAGAAGAAATGAAGAAAGTATTAGAAAAAATAATATTGAAAATCTGAAAAGATAAATAGAAATTTCAATGTTAAATTCAATGAGACAAAACGAAAATTTCTTTTTGCTCCATCTCATCTACCAATATAATCAATAAACAATAGGGAGATGAGTAACTTTTAAATAATAGTGTAAGAAATAAGCAAAGTGCTTTCTTATTTTACAAAGTACCATCAAGGTACTGTGTATTTTCCAGCAAAGTACAAAACACAGTACTTTTTCAAAATCGTAAGTACCTCGAGTACTTCGCTTTTGCTTGAAGTACTTAATATTGGAAACACTGTACAGTACTGTATCTATAGTCGCCATTGAATTCAAAGATGTCATAATGAACCACTATAGTAGTGATTCAAAATCTAACGACATCTATAGTTATTTTAGGAAATACACTCAATATTCTTTGCATATATCTCTTAATTAGTACTTTTGAAATTTAAATTCAGTTAAATATTCTTTCTAAGTTAGTGTGTATAAGCCAAGTGTGTTTTAAAGATATATATGCCTTGACACTATACACCAATCCGTTGCAATAGTATACAAGTCATACATACATACGTTCTAATTGTGTTATTAGCATTATCACTTTCTTGAGTTTTCTTTTTTGTCAATTAATCATTGAATTATCATTTATATAATTAATTGACAGAATTTTTCATTTCTTAGATATTCTAGTAGGTTTTTTTTTATTATTCATTTTATTAATTGAAAAAATTTTATTTATTCAGGTAATCTTTTATGTATTTATTTTAAAGTGATATTTTAGTCAATCGTTATCAGTAATCGACATTTGTTGATGATAATAAATGTCTATTCTGACATCTGAATTTAAATATCATTGAAATGTTCAGCCTCTTCGTTTTTTTTTTATTCTTATTTATATATAGTCAACAAAACTATCTCCTATCGATGATTTACTGATTATCTGTCATTTAAATGATATAATAGACAATCATAATATAAATCCCTATAGGGAAGATTGTCCTTACATTTGAATTTATTAGTCTATTCTATCGATATGATTCCAATATTACTCATATATTGAGTCAAATCGAAGAATAACCACTATATTAATAGTTTACGTATGTATATGTGCAAGAGAAAAAAGAAAAAAACGGAAGCAAGCAATCGTAATTAATCTCAACAACAAATCAGCAATGCATATATTACTCGCACTCGTGCTATATTTTTGCGTTCGAGTCTTTTTCTTTTCATATATCATTTAGTGTGGAGAGAGTGTAGAAAAGGACAAAAAAGAAAATAGCATTGCCCATTTATTTCGCATAGTAGAAAAAAAAAAGAAGAAAAGCAAAGCTATTGTCTAATCTGACACTATTAATATCTATATATTTTCTCAGCTAATTCTGTTTTAATTATCATTAAAAGATTAATTTTTATCTTTTGTCAATTTAGATGAAAAAAATTTTACACAACATAAATTATTAAAATCATAATAATAATATTAATAATAAAAAAAATACTGAAGCATAATGTCGTCAAATACTGATCCTGAAGTACATGATCCAGTGGCAAATTTACATATGCAACCATCGAGAGGTATTCTTAAATCAAGAAAAAGTTTTGATGATTCAAACCAAGATATGCATCATGAAACAATAATACCATCATTAAATAATTGTCCAACAACTGGCATGACTAGATCTGAAAGTAAAAGGTAAAGAAAAACAAAAAGAATTTCAAAATTTATTATTAATTTATATTTTCTTTTTCTTAGTCATAAAATTCCGCATTTTGATGAAATGAATATAATTGCAACATATCATCCACCTGATAAAGATTATGGTCATATGAAAATAGAAGAACCTAAAACACCCTATGCACGAAATGATATGGTTGATGAAGAAATACTTCCGGAAGCATCAAATGCTGGAATTGATCCTCTTACACTTGCACAACGGTTTTTATTGATTTAAAAAAAAAAATTTTTTTGTTTTATTTTCTAATATTTCTGTTTTTTGCTTTATATATTTATTAAGATTAAATCAATCAACAATACCTTCGCCGGATTCATCTCAGCCACGTCACAATCGTCAAGCACGTTTATCAATTGACGAACCTATTGATGAACTTTCACCAGAAGATTTAGGTATGAAGAAAGAAATCGCTAAACAAAACAAAAAATAAATAAATCAATCATTATGAATTCTTTTTTAGAACATCGAAAACAATTTGAAACTCATCGTAAACAACATTATAATGAATTTGAAGTTGTACGATTACGTAAAAAAGAAATTGAGGACGAATTACGTGCTCTTGAACAAGAAGAACAAAAGGAACATAATGAAACTACAGCAATTCCTTCACATGAATCCGATGGAGAACGAAAAGGAAGTCAAAGGTAAATTGATATTGACTTTAACTTATATAAAAATAATCTTCTTTGATTATTTATTAGTATATCTTCACCTCGTTTATCAATTGATTCAATAAAACCAATATTAGTTCATCATACTTCACGCGATTCATCAACATCTTCTGGTCACCATCATCATGTGCATGTTGAAATTGATCAGGATGATGAACCAGCATTAACACCTGAAGAACGAGGTTTGTTGTTAATATAATAAAGTTATTAATTTACAAAGAAAAAAACATTTTTTTTTTTCAGAACGAAAAAGACAATTTGAATTAAAACGTAAAAAACATTATGATGAATTTCGTGTAGCACATATGGCTAATCAAAATGATGATGAACCAAATATGACTGAATAATAATTCACTGATACTTCATTTCTTTTTTTCTTCTTTTTTTGTTTTTTTGTAAGACGTCTATGGTAGTAGAAAAAGTTGATCGCAAAGTCCTTTCTTTCTTTTTTTTTTCTTCTTTCTGCTTGTATTTGATTTCGACAGTGTATTCCTTTGATTATCTGTATATGCAAAAAAACAAAAGTCATAATCCTTTAACTTTTCGAAACAAAAAACAAACGATCTCATTTTTTTCTTTTCTTCAAGATGTTTACAAGATTAAATTGTATACGAAGAGGATATTGTCTTTCACAATTAATTTTAATTAAATATCGACCAATACATTTAACATGTCCGTTGGCTGTAAAAAATGATACAGTATCATCATCATCATCATCATCATCAGAAAAACATTCAGGACCTCCATCAACACGTTCTCATTTATCAGCAAGTGAAATATCTGAAATAGTTTTACGACGTCTTCATTTTCATGAGCAACGTGGTGTTGTTAAAGCACTTATTATTGGGTCTGGAATTATAGCTATATCGACTGTAATTTTTTTATATATCTTTCGAAAACCATTAAAAAATCAAACGGTTGCACAAGTTGCTGATGTGGCAAAAAGTAGTTTAGAACAAGGTAAATTTCATTGAAGTATTTCTATTTTTTGCTTTCTACATCGATAAGTTGAATTACAGTTTACTAATTTTGATTTAATTGAGTGTGAACAAAGTCGGCTTTTCTGCCTGAAAAATCAAAAGTATTTCTCTTTCAAATAATATCATGGTAAAAAAGTATAGTGCATGCTTAACTTTTACATTTATTCTTATATATTCTATTTATATTTGAATAATTTTCAAAATAAAAAAATGATTATTTTTGTTTAGATAGTGTAAGACAACAAGTTAATGTTTTATCTCAAGAACTTATTCAAAATCTTTTATCTGATCCAAATATATTATCAAAAGCACTTGTATTTCTTGAACGTGTTATGGATGATCCATCAACAAAACAAACTCTTATACGACTTTTACAACGTTTAATGATTGATCGTGAAATGCAACAAAATGTATCTGAATTTACATCACAAATAATATATGACGTTATGAAAAAATCTGAAACAGAAATACAACTAGGACAATTATTTCGTCGTGCTATTTTACAAAAAGATAATCAAGATGCTTTATATATTCTATTAAAAGAATTTGTTAATGATGATAAAACAAAACAAATGTTAACAAATTTAGCATTAGATGTTAGTCATCAAGTATTAGATGATGAGAATATTAAAATAGCTGCAACTCAATTCGTTAAAGATATTCTTAATGATTCAGGTTTACAACAACAAAGTGGAGATTTTGCATGGAATGCATTTAAAAATGCATTAAAACCAAAATGGTTTACAAGTCATGCTAAAACAATTAATTCAACTGTTGATAAAAAACATCAATCAAATGAGAATTTATTAGAATTTGATTTTGAAAATTCTATTATACTTCCATCATGTATTAGATAAAAATAGAAAAAATATGTTTTGTTTTAGGATATAAAACTAAAAGAAAAAATTATTTTGTAATAAAAAATTAAATTGATTTTATTTGATTATGTTTCTTCTTCTACTTCTTTTCGTTTTTTTTTCGTTTTCTTGAGGCATCAGATGTTCGATTTAATTGTTTTTTTTTTCTTACATTATGAATAGATTAATTCAAGGAGTCAATTTGCTTCGAGCTCTTTGTTTTTCTTTATATGTATAAAAAAAAAAAAGATTTTCATTCTTTAATCTGTCAGCTTAATACGTTTCATATTTTCTTTCTAGATAATTAGAATACTGCATAATCTTGCGAATAAATATAAATATTCTTAAGGCATTTCCTTCAAAATCATGCTTTCATGAGTATATGGAAAAAATGTTGAACTGACTGGTACATATCCAAATTAATTTAACTATTTTTTTTCCTTTCTACAAGAATCGATGTGTTAATCTGAGACATAGAATTCACACAAGAGTGATTCGTACTGAAGAGGAAATTATAGCCTAGATGGAAATTCCATGATTGAAATTTATATATAGCTGCGGCAAATACGTCAAAAAGAACCCTGCTACACATGACTGTAGTTGATTGCTTAAGTGTCATAGTTCTCAGTCAATATAAAGGCTATATGCAAATTTAAATCATCAGATTTCTATTATGACTATATATTTTTTGCATCTATCATATATGCGTTTAGTATAAATAGATTCTAATTAATATGTAAGAAAGAAAACAAAAAAAATATGAACATTTGATTGTATCGTTTTTATTTTTTCGTAGTTTTCTGGTCGATTAAATGGATTTAGAAAAGGATATAAAATTAAAATTTAATGTGATTTCTTAATGATTATTTTTCAAGAAACCGAGATAGCCAATGGAATAATCACTTGTTAAATATTTATAAATATTCATGAGTTCATTTCAATGTGCTTCAAAACAACTAATGACATCAGTTTTTACTTGAGAAGTATTTGACATCTTTTACCGAAATATCTGACTCATCTTATGACATACAAAATTTTGCAATGTAATCATTACTAAATGATTCATTACTAATGATTCATTTTTCTCCCATTGAAAACATTGACAAGAACAGAATCTACTTTTATTCTTAAATTTTTAAATGTATATTATTTTTCTTCTAGTTGTAGATTATTTTTCTTTACTTCAAATATGAGTTATCTTTATGGACCAAAGATAATAAAAGATAAAATTTTAACAAATATTTCAGCAGCTATTCGAGAAGTTTGTTTATTTAATATTATTTATTTAATTAGTAATTAAATATGATATATAATTTAGATTCATCGATTAGCTGTCGATGATGATGAACAAACTACACGAGTTATAACAAATGATGATTGGCAAGTGCATTGTTTACTCGAACATCTTGATTTTGCTCTACTCTATGGGTAATAATCTATTCGTTGTTTGGAAATTTTTTCTTCTTCTAGTATTGAATAAATAAAAAGCTGTCAATGTAATCCCTGTGGAATTGAATTGTCAAACATAATGCAGTTGCCGTTACTAATCACAAAGAAATAATTTTATTCTTTCGATTTTCGAACACATATCTTCAATATCATTTTATTTAATCCTTTAGAAATGTAAAAAGGCAACAGTACATATGTGATAACGAGATGTTATTCATATAAGGTCTTTCATCTTATATTAACAATGTTTGTCACAGTCTGCGGCGAGGTCCACATTTTTTTTTAATATTCTGTTTAGATTGTATTTCACAAAAAATAAAAAAATATTTATTATTTAGATTAAAATATGTTCAAGATGGTTATTATAAATGTGTTAGTGAATTTACTCCTAAATTATTATTAACACAAATCAATTCATTATTCAATATAGAAACAAATATTGGTCGTGGTCGTGCATGGTTTTTTTTTGCATTTAATGATAATTTAACAGAAAGTTATATGAAATGTTTTCAAGATAATAAAAAATTAATTAAAAAATTTTATACATCAGATTCAATAGTTAATGATACTCAAGTACGATTTCTTTTTTTTCATTAGACTATATTAAATTTTCTTTTTTTTCTATAGAGATTAATTGCACTTACAACATTATGTTCCGGTTTAGAAAATATTCAATTTAATTTAAATACTGTAAAAAAAAAACAATTTAATTTCAATAGAGAAAAAAAATCAATGATTTTAATTTTTAGGATTGTGTATATTTTGATCGTTGTTGTTGGCCAGCATATTTACAAGTTGATCTAAAAGATACAGAAAAACTTTCATTGCCAGGGATACGAAATGATGTTCCAACATTTGCTACATATTTATCTCGATATGATGTTCAACATGTACCTTCGTCACCTGCTATCTCACCTAGTACTACTGTTACATCGAGTAAATTTTTATTTACAATGATGAACCAAAAATCTCCATTTCAGCCAATCTCAGCCATTGTATGTTCTGAAGGTCTAAAAATTTCAAGATAGATAGATAGATCTCAATAAGTAGAGTAATAGACTCAAAACTTCAAGATGCTTCCCTTTTTAAAGGCTACCGAATTTCGTAGGAACAATATATTGAAGAAAAAAAAAACACATGCTTTCTAATTTGATTGCAATACTCATAAAAAAATTTGAGCCCGATTGAACGTACCATGTGGGAGAAAATTTTAGGTTTTTTTTTTGCTAGAAAATCAATTTTGAGAAAAACGCAAAATAAACTTCCAAGACTTTTTTACTTCAATTAAAATGGCCGTATTAGAGATTCATGATCCATGCTCTGAACACTTTTAGAACTTATGATTAGGAGATTTTTGCATAGAAAGAATAATCACAGTACGCGTTTTTCTGCTAGAGGATTCGAGAGTTGAATTTAATTTAAGTACTAGCTGAGAACTCTCATTTATATAACACTTGACAGAGAACACTTCGAAGTTATATTAGCGATGAAAAACTAAGAATCAAAGGGAAGACTCCTCAACTAATGGACGGCACCTATTTTTTTGCACTCAGCATTTTAAGCTAAAATAGATTGCCTAGAAAATTTTGTGGTGTTTCTTACTAAAAACGTGACTAATTTTACATGTATCTGATCTTTCTTCTTCTAAAAGATAAGTTCATTTGCTCGAATATTAATGGTTCTGAATTCTTAGAATTAAAAAGGTTATCATCTAAATCCCGTTTCTCTGTTGTGCAAAATTTGCTTCTGAAATTTGTACATAATGATATATGACTGTGGAAGTAGTTTCTTAAAAAGTATGAATTCATTTCATTGAATTGTCACTAAGTTATCGACTTCCAAAGAATAGTAAATGGTTCCTCTCCACAAAAATGAACATAGTCTTAGAAAGGATCGATGAACTTCAATGAAATTAGTGATGTGAATAGTTGAAATATTGCAGTACATATTGAAGAATCGACTGACAACAAAAATCCAGTGCATACAATGGTCGAGATCGACTTCAATGAAGTTTTTTGTCCATTACTATAATAATTTAATCGTGAAATTTTTCTTTTTTTATTTTGAATAGAACGTGTTCGAGTACCTAAACGAATTGATCATACATCGTCAGCATCATCTGTTGTTAATAGTTTTATATCTTCGGATATTCATCCAGCTGCATTATCACGTTCATCATCTGTTAGTTTTGATAATCCATCTATAGATGGTTCATCACTTAATGAAGAAAACCAAATATCAAACTCTACAGCTTTAACAACTGATTCACCATTACCATTAGCAAATATAACATCAGGACTTAGTTCAAGTTTAAGTGAACTTGATCCTATGTTAAATAATCGACCACGAACACCATCACCTATATCATTAAAAAAAATTAATGAACAACAAAACATGACAATTTCTACAGATGATACACCAATTTTCACAGATACACTTGATAGTCAACCTTTAATAGTGGCAAATCAATCTATAATACTAGAAAATCAATCGTCAGTATCCATTGAAGATTCAATAAATGTTTCTGAAAAAGCTGAACATTCAGTAATGTCTTCATTATCATTGTCAACTGATAATGGATTAAATGATTTAAGTACTGAAAGAAAAAATGATGATCTTCTACAAGTTACTCATATAGATTCACTTGAAATACCGTAAGAAGAATTAAAAATATTTCTTTCTGTTTCATTATTTTATTTATAGAGCTGATGCTAATCTTCAATTACAATTTACATTAGAAGTTTATGAAACACAAAATAAAGAAGAATTAATTAAAGTATAAAAAAGAACAATCGAAAAGCTTTTCTATTTTTGTTAAATAAATTTTCTTTATAGTTATTTCCAACAACTATTGGTCATAATAATGGTAACCTTGAAAATGTTTTTGTTCTTGTAACAACAATGAAGGTTTATTTACTACGACAAATAAACGAAACTAATGGTTTACATCGAATAGAAAAAATTGAAAGTATTCAATTAGAACAAATCGATTATATTGAAGTAAAAAATTCATTTTTTTTTAATAATGAAAATAATTATTTGATTATTTAAGATTGGTCCAAATGAACAATTTCTTCGTATAATTACAGCTAAAAATAATAAACTTCGTTCCTTAACAACAGGATGTGTAGAATTAACAAGGTAAACGAAAATAAATTTTATATTCTTGATTTCACAATCTAAAAGCCCAACAATTTAAAATAGTGGTTAAAAATATAAGACTAAAATTCAATATAGTGGTTTGAATAGACAATTCAAATGCATTCCATACTAATATTTCATAGATGGAGTATAGTTCCTGAAAAAAAAACCAAACAGATCCTAGAAGAATGTGTGAAAATTATTTTTTAAGAGTACCACCTTATACAGTACAAAACTCTGAATAAAATGCAATGATCCTTTATTTTATTCAAGATTTTGTGCTCTTTAAAATGGTATTGTTAAAAAATACATTCGATAAAGTCTTCTAGTATCTGAAAACTACCGTGTTAGGATGCATCAATTCCTAGAACATGATGTTCAAAATGACATTTTTTTGCTCTATCCGACTCTGTAGTCAAAATAGAAAACATAGGCTCTGAAACTGATGAAACATTTCCATCTTTCAGTTTTTTTCAATCAATGTCCTTGATCCTATACTTTTGATTACAACTGTATATTGATTCGTTATATTTTCTGGATAAATATTTACTTTTTCAGAGCTATATGTACTAGTATTCGCGAAGCTTCAAAAATTGGACGTTTTCGTGAACCACAATTATTACCAGCAACAATGCAAGAATTATCAATTAAAAAAGCATTAGCTACGGATACGAAAAAAAGTGTAAATGAGTTTTTTATTTAGTAAATTTATATATTGTTGTTTGATTTTTGTTTTTTTTAGAATGCTCATGAAGTTAAATTACTTGATTATCATTATACATTTTGGGAAGAACCACAAATGAGTGGACGAAAATTACGTAAAGAAGGTTTTCTTCATACAAAACTTGTTGAACCAGCAACAGCTATGCGACGTCTTGGTGCAGCAACACTTAAATCTCATCGACATTCATTTGAAACATGGCGAAATGCTTATGTTACTCTTAGGTATAATAAGAAAAATATTTCTTTCAATTTCATTATTGAATTTTTCTTTAGAGTTGATCGCCTCAATATCTATTTACATAAGTCAGATACAATTCCAACATTATCATATACATTACTGTAAAAATATAATTTCTTTTGTATAAAAAAAAAAATAATAGTGTTATGATTTAGCGATGAAAATTGTCAAGGATGTCGAAGAAATCGCAATGCTGATCGACCATATGTAATTGAAATAATGTTTGCTCAAGATGTAACATTAATTATGGCAGCAAAATCAAAAACTGAACAAGATGAATGGTTAAATGCTGTTATGAAAGGTCTTTCCCAAGGAGTAAATATCATTTAGACAAAAAAAAATTTTTTGATTTAAAATTAATATTTTATTTTAGCGTTTGGCAATGAAAGATGAAGACAATTCAGCAAATACAGTACCATGTAGTGTTATGTTAACAGAAGAAAAAATCTATGTATGTCATGATGAAAAAGATAATGTACTTATTCGTCAACTTGATTCAATAAAACTTGAATATGTTGCACAATTATTTGTTGATCCACAATGTCAATATTATTGTGTATTAGTAAGCAAAAATTTAAAATTTGTGATTTATATTTCATTTTAATATATTTTTTTCTTTTAAAGTCTATTGAACATGGAAATCAAGGTTCAAAATCTTGGATTTTTTATTTTTTATTTATTAAAGAAACGATTCAATTTATTAAAACTTTACAACGAACTTTATCGAATACATATCAGGTTATATATAAGATGGTGAAAAAAGATTTCACAACAATATATTTATTTTTCCTATAATGTTAAACATCTAGCTCAAACCTAGAGAGTGGTTTTAATAGCTAATGGAATTTTCTACAGTCAAAGTTTTCCTTGAGAATCTCACGATATCAGCCATCGATGGAAAAGAAATCCGTGCTAAGACTGTCCCAGACAATCAAGACTTCTCTGAGTCTCAAGATTACAGTCAATTGGAGTAGCCTATCTGTGATACAATATAGATATGCGAATCTTTATTTGTCAATAAGAATATGAAGATTAACGCATTTAATAAATAGTGGAAAAATAGGAGAGTCTTTGAAAAACCCTTTTTTAGAAGCCTAGGGGAAAAAAAACTCTACATTAAGCCCTATAGATCTCGGATTGTAGTTTAGGACCAGAATTTATCATGCTCTATTTTTAGTCAAAATATCAGGCAAAATAATTGAAGTTTATGTAGTTTTTATCCGGTAGTAGAACTTCTTGCGACTAGTGTATCTAATACATTTAATACTAAGATTTCTAAAAACTCGGACATGGTAGTTTTCAGGTGTCGAAGCTATTTTTTAATAATGTCATTTTAGAGAGAACAAAGTGAGGGGTCGTCGATCTTCCCTTAAAAAGTTAAAAGTATCAAAAAATCATCTTTTTTTTTCGGCTTTTGTGATGCTTTTAACTTTTAAAGGGAAGATCAACCATCCCTCATTTTGTTCTCTTTAAAATAGCTTCGACACCTAAAAACTACCGTATCTGGTTTTTTTTGGAAAACCCTACCATCATAATTCATAGAAAATTCCAATAAGTTTTATTATTCTTAATAAATTGTTTTTATAGGTTCCAATTGATATTCAATCATTGACTGATATGTCATTTCAACGTGAATGTGAACTAACTTCAAAACGTCTTCTTCGTTCGTATCGTCCTTTAACATTGACACCTTAAAAAATTACAATTTTCTTTTGGTGGTATATCTCTCGATTACGTGCTATTATTTTTTTTTTCTTTCATTGTCATATTTTTCAACAAATTTTTTGTGCATTTCTTTTTTATTTTACTCCATTAGATTGTGAATATTACATCGATAGTTATATTTTTTTAAAATAAAGAAAATCTATATATGCATGTGTCATAGATGATGAATATATACGACATCTATAATTGTTGATAAAATTGTTACTAAGACAACAAACGTTGAGAAAATAGAACAATATGGTTATAAATATATTAAATTAATCATTAGAAGAAATTATTTTATTGTAAACTAAAAACGGTAAATGTCGCGTGCGATTCCACCATCATCTAGAAATCCACAAGGTTTGTATATAATTATGATTAAAAACAGATTTTTAATGAAAATAAATTGATGAAAATTATCTTTATGAGTAATTTATGCATTTTTCTAATAATTTCTAAAGTATTAAAAAAAAAATAGCTCAGTTGCTATTTGTATTATGAAAATACGTAAATCGTTGTTTGACTTCTTGGATTTTTTATTCAGTTTTAAATACAAATTAACTTTTTATTGTATTTAGCACCAGGTACAAGCAGTGGCCGTCCAATTGGTACGGCTACTCGCTTAACAACAGCAAGTGGAGTAAATATAAAAATTTGATTAATTTTATTTCTTTAATATTATGTTTATCATAGCAACGTCCTTCAAGTCGAGGTGGTCCACTTGGCTCAAATATGCGAATTAAAGTTGAAGATGCACCAATGAATCGAGGTGGATTAGGTGGTATTCAAAATCCAGGAGGATTAGCTGGTCGTCAAGTACAAGATCGAACATATTTCGTTGGTCTTGTTCGGTGAGTTCGTTTTTTGTACACAAAAACAAATTGAATTCTAATTTATTATTAGATCAAAAGTATCGGATCTTGAATCAGAAATTCAACGATTACAACGTGAAACTGATTCATTTACTGAAGATAATAAACAGTATTTTGCATTAAGCAAAGCGTTCGTATTAAAAAAAAAATTGAATAGAAAAATAAAATAATTGAATTCTTTGTAGTGCTGAAGATTCATCACAACACATTGAAAATTTACGTAATGAACTAGGCGATTATAATATGGTATGAATTAATATTTTTCCTTGTTGTTTTTAATTTGGATTTTATTATAATATAGGTCATCGATCGATTACAAACAACAGGCGAAGTAGCTGAATTAAAAAAAGAAATTGCAGATTTAAATGCTCATAATCATCAAGTTGAATCATCTATTGATGAAATTTATCTTGAAAAGCAGAGGTAAAAAAAAAAAGAGATACAAATTCGTTTTAAGAATATTCGAATTTCTTTGCTAACGAAAAAATTACCTGAACTGTAGCTTATCGTTTGATCTCATATTGAACGCATTAGGAGGTCTCGGTAGGACTAAAAAAGTTCATGTCCATAGACCTTTGAAGTCGAGTTATGACCGTTTTACTATAATTTCGATTCTGAATTGAATCTATAGATAGGTTTAATAACTATTCGAATACCCTGGAGGTTTTAGCCGAAAAGAATATTCATTTATCAAGATAATGAAGTTGTTTGCTACAGACATATCACAAAAATCCAGTTTACTTGGAAATTCAGTATCTCGACAAAGAAACAATTTTCAGTATAGTCCAAGGATCATTAAATCTATCTGCGAGAAAAATTACAGATCGCAATTCTAATATTTGATTGTCCGGTAAATACCTAACAATTGGGAAGTTGTAGTTCCATGTTTTTGTGGATTCGGACCCGAATAAAGTTTAAAATTTGGACTCAGATCTAGTCGGGTCCAAACTTGAGGTTGTTTCTATCAATACCTGGCATACTTCGTGTACATGAACAAGTGAAGGATCAAAGTGTCAGATATTTATTTGGTACTCTCAGAAAAAAACTCAACGTACAGTTATATCTTATTGCTGTATTTCTCATCTGGACAGCAGCGGGTCCACAAAAACGTCTAGCCTGGCCCAACAAAAAATAAAAGGTTGGATCTGGACTGGACTCGGACGTGGTCGGGTTCGGTTCTAGAAGGACCTACAGTTTCCTACTAACAATAGATCGAAAATTCAGTAAAACGGTTAAAGCTAGAGATGTGTAGGACCAAGTTTTTTTGGTCTCGATCTAGAGAAATCTATTTCCGAATTTATTCGTATCACATCTAAAAAAATTCTTTCATACTCGTTTTTGATTTATTTAGTCGACAACTAGCACTTTTTGAGTCATCTCACTTGGACTATATTCTAATTGATGACTTATAAAATAATTCGCTTAAGATTATAGAATATTTGATTATTATCTTTAGTTCCGGTTGGGACAACTTTTTTCTAATAGTCCCAGTTTTCTCAACATCTCTTTTCCCCTGTCTTGAAAGTCCATTGGAACGAACTCTTTTGGACTTTTTCTTTTCTTACCGAGACTTCCTTTTTTAAGCTCAAACAGCAAGTTATAGCTCAGGTTGTTTTCTCATTAGTCAAAATTATTGAGCACCAATAATAATAATTATTATTATTCTTCACATTTAGAAAAGAGCAACGAATTCAAAAACTTGAACGTGATCTTGCTGAAGAAAAGAGAAAAGCTGAAAGACTTTTAGACAATATGGTAATATATTCATATTTTCCTTCTCATTGAATTTTTTTTTCTTATATCTATTATATATAAACTTTAGAATCCTGAATTAAAACAACGTTATGCTAAAATAAAATCAACATCAAATCAACTTCAAAATCAAATGGATTCAATGCAAAATGAAATTTCTACACTTGATGGTCATATGAATAAAATGCGTGAACAAATGTCAGGTGCTGTTATTAAACAAGAAGCATTAACATTAGTTGAACAAATTTATGAACTTGAATTAAAACGTGAACAATTAACTAATGAAAGTAAAAGTATTTTAACACCAGAACAAGAACGTCAAAAATTAACACAACAAGTTAAAGAAGATAATCAAGAAATAGCTGCTATGGATAAACAAATAAGTGAATTACGTGAACGAAATGAAAATCTTAAACAATCTTATGAAAATGATGATATACAAACATCATTATTAGTTCAACAACAAAATAAATCATCAACAACTGCCGATGATGAAACAAAACAAAAATATATTGAATTAAAAAAACGTGAACAACATATTGATGAATTTTTTTCAACATATGAACAAACACGTGAACAAAATTTAAATGATATAAAAAATATTCAAAAAACAAATTTAACATTATTAGCATTAATTAGTCGTACACTTGTTAAAGGTGATCAAGCATTAACACGTGATGATTATACACAATTAAAAACAAATATTGATCAACATGAAGCTGAAAAGAAAAAATCCCATGATACATTAGCTATATTAGCTGAACAACATCGAAAAGTTAAACAAGATTATGCTAAAGTTGAAACACTTGATCAAAAATTAGCTGAAGAACTTAAAGAATTAAAAAAACAATATGCAAAAATGCAAGAAGATTTAGAAAAATTTAATGATTTAGAAGGTTTAAAAAGAAAAGCTGAAAAAAGAAAAATACAATTAGCAGCTGATAAAAATAATATGGGTAAACAACGACAAGTGACTAAATTTGAAATTCAAACATTACAATCACAATTTGAAGCAGCACAAACACAATTACGTGATAATGAAACACATCAACAAGTAATACGAAAAGCCGAGAGTAGAGGATTGTTAAGCAATGAAATCGGCTTCCTCCTAAAATTGAGTTTATTATTTTCTCAATAGTCAATTAAGATGTCAGAAGTTATTTGAATCCGACTGTTAGACTCAAAACTTGATATTACAGTGTTATGTAGGATAGTGTTTGTATTAAACATATAGAACTCTGATGAAATATTTTTCGTTCATATGTGTATGTACAATATGCGAACAGTCATAACAAAACTGTCATCCTATTGAACTGTGAAAGCAGCGATTCACTTTGAATCAGATATTATTTGATAGACTTTTCAAAGTTCTACAAAATGATACTATTGTGTTGATGTCAATTTCTGACCAAAATACTTCAGTCAAACGTACAATATTCAAAAGTGCCCAAAGTTACCCTTTTTGACTGATATTTGACGAATTTTGGTCTGAATAATCAGGTTTCCTATTAAAACGAATGATATATTTGATATTACCATAAAAAATTGAGTTGATCTCTATATGTCTCATAAAATCCTCCGACTTTTTTTTTTCGTCTGAATACCGTGCCCTAGTCCTCCTCAGAATTATGTCGAAAAATTAAGTCAGTGCAAAACATCGTTTTTATTATCTATACATCTATTCATTTTGAATTTTTCAAGATTTTTTTCAAAATTTAGAACTGACTTTTCACAGTGAAACTAGTGTTTTGACTGACTTAGTTTTCCGACACAACTCAAACAGGGATCAGGACTAAATTTTTGAACAAAAATAAAAGTTGTCAGTGAATTTTGTGACATATATAGATTGCCTCAGTTTTTTTATTTTGTAAAATTTTGCAAAGTCTATCAAATGATATATAATCCAAAGTAGATTGCTGCTTTCATAGCTTGATAGGAGAGAAGTTTTGTCATGGCTGTCCTTAGATTGTGTATATGAGGCAACAGTGCCATCTAAAACAAAATCTTTCATTTTATCTCTAAGTCAACTTAAAGCAGCTGCAGAAGAGAGACAAACTTTTCATAACCATAAACCTATAAAAGATAGATAATATCAAGTTTTGAGTCAGCCGAAATGAAGTCTAACGGTCTAATTCGACCAGCAATTGACTACTGCAGAAATAATAAACACAATTTTAGGAAGGATCCGATTTCATCACTTAACGATCCTCTGTCATTTATACTATTGAATTATTGATCTTATTTCTTTTTTTCTTAGCTTGTTAATCTTGAGAAAAAATTACAAAGTGTTTCTCAAGCATTGTTTACTCTCGATGAATCTCTTGCTTCTCAACATGTTCAAGGACAATATGAACAAGTTAAACGTCAAGCATTAGAACTCGTTCAAGCACATAATCGTTGGTTAATACAACATTATCAAAATTCACCAATTGCTTAATTAATAAATAAAACTTGTGTTCTTTTAAATGTACGATTTTGTTTTTATTGGCAGCCAAGAATGTTTTTTTTTTCTACATACCATATATATAATATTTAAAAAAAGAGGAAAGCATAATCACAACAGCAAAAAGAAAACTAATAAGACAACAACACACACACACATACATATAACAGGATTTTATTGCACAGGTTTACAATTTGATAAATAATAGTTGTTCAATTTATATACATACATATACATACATTTGACCAACGAGAACAAAAAGATATTTGACATTAATTTTACATAATCTTTTACCAAGAAAGTATAAGCGAAAAAGAAACTAAAACATGACCAGTATTTCACATAACACAACAAGAAATGAACTCGAGAATAATAAATAGAAAACGAAATTTTTATTACGAAATAAATAAATAAATAAACTGATCATTATTATTATTATTATTATTATTATATCAATAATCGTCGTAAATTATTTCGTGTTTTATTCGAAAATATAGGAGAAATAGTAGGTCGTTGACGCCATGGAGATTTTATTGGACCTGTTGTTGTTTTACATGGACTTGATGGATGATAAGGGCCAGAACAACATTGACAAAAACTATTTCGACATAATGGATTCGTACAAATACTAAAACATAAATACAAAATACAATCAAATCAAAAAAACCTATTAGCACAAAAACACTTAGTATTAGAATTTTTGTGAGACTTATCGTTCAGGCGGAGACGATTTCATACTGTTGTTCAATGATTTTTCCTTGTTATTTTCGTAAATAACACCCATTTTGTTTAACCTCACTTTCATTTCCTTGACTATATATTTTGAATTTATTTGGATGAATACTTGGATTAGAGTCCATCGGATTGATCCCGGATCCGATGAGTTCTATGTGTTTGAGAAATATGCAGGGTGCACTAATTGTCGAATACCAAAAATCGAAAAAAAAGTATCTCATATCTTTGGGGCGGCTATCCAATTTCGATTAGAAAATTTCATTGAGAGTATCAACGCATTGTTCAAGAATTTTGCACTCGATGAGCTCTGACCTGGATAATAGATTTCCTTCACAACGAAAAATATTGAAACTGTCATCTACAAAGTCAACTAAGAGCTGAAAGTCTCTCGCAGTCATCACTTAGACATGACTGAATTCACTTTGTACATCTGAAAGTTAAGGGATTACGAAACACATCATTATTGATAGAGGTCTCGTAGAGAAATGTTCTTCGCTCTTCTAGCCATTTTATTAAACATCAGAAAATGATTCAAGTCTATCTATTGAATGGGAAATAAAAATTAATTATTATTTAAAAATTTACCCATGTTGATCATTAACATCAACAATTGAAACATAAGCACAAATCGGACAACGTTTTGGTACTGTTGGTCCATGTAAATATTTTAAATAACCATAACGAAATGTCATTGTACTTGCTGTAAGATGAATATTATTATCAGGTGATGATGTAAATATATTTTGTGATGGTGTTAATGGAAGAATATTATCATCATTTGTTGTTTCAACAATTAATGGTATTGTTGATTTTATATCAAGTAAATTAGTTATTGTTTGCATTGGTTTTGTTTTAAATTGAAATTTTTTAATTGGAGTTTTATTAAAATTATTAAATAAATTACGTTTAACATTTTTTATTTGTTTACGTCGATAATAATCTTTTAATATTGAATACCATTTTCGACATACATTTGAACAAGATTTTAAATCATAATTTGATAAATTTTGAAAAATTTTATCAATTATATGGTATGCATTACGATGATATAATTGTATTAATATATCAAAATGTTTTCTTGTTAATATATAATGTTCATAATCAATTTTTGTAAGAAATTTTCTTCTAGGAATATTTATTGGTGATTGTATATCATATTCTGATATTGGAGAATCATTTTGATTAAGTATAACACTTGATGGTGATAAACGAGATGGTGATGTTAAACATGGAGATGTTGTTAATGTTAAATAACCTGAATCTAATTGATTATTAATTGGTATAACTGAATAAAATAAATCATTGTAACTATCATTATTTTCATCATTAACTTGATTTGACATATTGTTTGTATTTTTTGGATCGGACGACTATTGAATTTAAACAATATCTAAAAATCTTTTTGAAAATATGATCATTTTTAATAATACATAGTTCAATAGAACGATATCAAAGAGTTCATGATATCCAAGTTGTTTGTTTTTGATAAAGTAAAATAAAATATTCGAATTCATATGAAAAGACAGCAAGCTTTGGAGCGGAAGTTGAACGCTTTCTTCTTGGGAACTGGTGAACAAAAAAAACAATAAATCGCTGAAGGACGCCCCAGAACACTCGTACAGATTGACGACATCCTCTAGTAGAGTCCGTCAGGTTGGTTTTTGATCCGAATCCAATGGGAGCTCTACTCTCTATACTAATTGATACGGCATATCAAAGAGTGCGACTGTTGCTGGTCTGCAGATGCATCCACCTCCCTGAGTAAATGGTGTCAGCTTGTAGTATCAAATTGATTGATATATGAATCTTTGTCTTTTCTGAATTTTAAGGATAATGATCTTATTCTTCATGCGATTTTTCTTTTGATAAAAATAGTAACTTATTGTTTATTACTTTTCTTTTTGTACCTATAAAATAGCCTACAACTTGAATAAAGGTGTTAACTATTACTATAGATGAACTCTTTGTTCTTTATCTGACAACAATGAATCATATATCCCGCTTAGACAAAGAAATGATTATTTTTCTTTCAAAGAATATTTTCAATTTATTCAAAACAAAATTATTTTATTTTTTCTTTCTAATAATCATTTTTTCTTAAATTCTTATTATTTATTTTTATATTTTCCTATAGATGGCTCTCATTAACTAAGTTTTGATTGATTGGTTACTTCACATATTTATATATATAAATACTCAACATATAGTTTAATTTTCGTTTAGCATCGTCATCTATAATTTAAATATCTTATTTTATAGCTCAAAAAAAACAACAATAATGTCTACGACAAATACTATGTTAAATATTGTTGAGAAAGACGTTGATAAAGCTATTGAATCAGTTCAAGAGTATTATAATAATATTGAAAATAATATTGATAATGTTATTGAACAAATTCAAACTATGATATCAAATTCAACAGATGAACAAATAATAAAAGGAAATATTCATGATACAATAAAACCATTTGCTAAACAATATAGTGATAAACATAAAGATTTACATGGTTCAATATCAAAAATAGGTAAAACAATTGATAAATGTTTTCAATCAGATTTTGGTAATGTACCTATATTTGAATTATTTGATAAACCCGAAAAATTAAAATTAATTTATATGATTATATGTGAAGATTTATATCGACAAGGACGTATGTCAATAGCACAACAATTAATTGAAGAAACAAATTTAAAAGATAATGATTTGTTTAATGTTGAAAAAAATTTTTTAGAAGAAATAAATATGATTTTAGAAAATTTACGTGAAAAAAATCTTTTACCAGCACTTGATTGGTGTCAAAGAAAACAAAATGAATTAAATCAAACGGGTAGTTTATTAGAATTTCATTTACATAAAATGCGTTTTATACAATTATTACAAATGGGAAATTTTGATGAAGCAAAAAATTATATGTCAAATTTAAGACAATATTCTATTTTAAATGGTCGATGTGAACAAGCCGTTAATGAATTAATGGGTGCATTAATATTTGCTCAAAGAGATTTAACTAAATCACCATATAAATATTTACTTGAACCACATCTATGGTTGCAATTATCAGAATTATTTATGCAACAAGCATTTCAACAAGTTGGACTTTCACAAGATAGTCCACTTTATGTTGTTATGAAAATTGGTTTTCAAGCATTACCAGCTTTAATGAGGTAATTATATTAATGGAAGCAAACAAAAAGACAAAAATTAATCGATTATGAGTTTATATTACAAATATGGGTATTGTTATATTTCAGAAATCAATATGAAGTTTTCTTTTATGAACAAATTCTTTTGAAATGAGTATTAAAAAGAAATGATATATATATATAAGGTATTTGTGATAGTAGAGTTAAGTCCAAGGGGAGTATAGAATGTTCGAAAACAACTAATATCGATTAGTGGTGTAGAAGAATTACTCAACATATTGAAATAAAATTGCTGAAATGTTTATTTTATGTGATAATCATTTTATTTAATGGTCTAGTGACATTAGTGCAGGCAAAGGTGCTGATATAATCTGTCATGATAGCATAACATCTCTAATCTCACGTGAGAATCATCCAAATTGATACTTGCCGCTTGAGTTTATATTGGACCTATAAGGACGCTTTAGTGAAGGTAGGAAAAGTTTAAAAAGTTTTGCCCCTATGGACTCTTGAAGCCAATTTATGATTTTTTTTACTGAATATTCGTTTATAGATAGTTCGAACGATCATTGAAATATTTTGAAAGTTTTAGCTGAATAGAATGTTCTTTTGTAGAAATATTGAATTTTTAAATAAATTTGGTATTTTCTACTGAAAACTTTAGGATTTTCTAAGAGTCATTTGAACGATTTATGAGCAAAAATTTAGTAAAACGATCATAACTTGGCTTCAAACGTTCATGGAGACGAACTCTTCTAAGCTTTTGCTAGTCTTACTAAGACGTCCTTGTAGATCTTGTGAGGAAAGTCCTCCAACTGATTAATCACTCCTGAGCCGAAGGTATATGCATTATGTAGATTCTAATGACCTATGAATATTCTGAAAAGAGTTTAGGCTGTTAACTTATTCCTGCTGAAATACTGCACTTTTAGAGTATTCTTTAAGTCAACCTCCGGTCTCTTTCAGATACATCAGGAAAATTGATTTTCGAATTTCGAGTTGATAATAAACTATCCTCATGAAGGTCTGCTTCTGTACAAAGTTCAGCAATCATTCAATGGTTCGAACTCTTTTTCAGAATATTCATAATTTATTAGAATCTACATGATGCATATAGTCCCGACTCAAAAGTAATTAATCAGTTGAAGGAACTTCTTCCCTAAGATAAGCTTTCAAACGACGAGCATCAGTTCGATTGATTGTCTCATCAGCTCAAACTCATCATGTATACGAATAAATGTTATAATTATCGAATGAAAATATAAATATCTATTTTAGCATTGTAAATGCCATGCAAAATACTCAAGTATGTCATATATTATCAAAAGATGAATTACCAATTGAGATTGATGTTGGTCAAGAACATCGATATCATAGTGTATTTGCTTGTCCAATTCTTCGACAACAAACAACGGATCAAAATCCACCAATGAAACTTGTTTGTGGTCATGTTATATCTAAAGATGCATTGAATAAATTATCCATACAAAATAAACTTAAATGTCCATATTGTCCATTAGGTTAGTTTTTAAATTTAAGATTTTCTTTTTTTACAATAATTTTTTCTTTTTTCTTTTTTAGAACAAAGTCCGGCAGATGCACGACAACTTTTCTTTTGAACATAATTAATCCAGCTGTTGTATTGTAATGCATTGTTTTTTTTCTTCTTGTGTCAATGATGAAGATCAGTTGTTTATCTTCTTTTTTTTTTCGTTCTTTTTTATATGTACAGTTTAAAAATGGTCTTGGTTTCTTTCTTTTTTTTTCTCATCTTATAGATAAAAAATGCTTAAGAAGCCTTTTGATCCATTGGATTATAATTTATCGGCTGATTTTCGTCTAACGAAATTATCCGATCTTAAAGGATGAGGATGTAAAGTTCCTCGAGATGTATTGCACCGTCTGCTCGAGGGACTTCAATCAATTGATACAAAAAAAACAGACGGTGACGGGCAAAATTCCACAAATCATTCGGCACTCACGTCAGAATCTAAAACATCGCCGGTGATTGGTATGTTATTGTAATAATTAATAGAAAAAAGAAAAGAGTAGCTTTATAATAGGAATTGGCCTTGATTCTTGTGTTATTCCATTACGTCATGGAGAACTTTTTCTGGTACAATCAACAGACTTTTTTTATCCACTTGTTGATGATCCATATGTGATGGTAAATATTTAATAGAATATTTTATTTTTTCTATTATATTTTAAATAATTAGGGAAAAATTGCATGTGCAAATGTATTAAGTGATATTTATGCAATGGGTGTTACTGAAATAGATAATATGTTAATGTTATTAAGTACAAGTAATAAAATGACTGAAAAAGAACGTGATACAATTATGCCATTAATTCTTGAAGGATTTAAAGTAATAAAGTTTTTAATAGACAATAAAATATTTGATATAGATTTTTTTTTGTTTGTATGAAATAGGATTGTGCTCAAGAAGCCGGTACAACCGTCCAAGGTGGTCAAACTGTTGTTAATCCATGGTTGATTGTTGGTGGTGTGGCTACTTCTGTATGTATACAACGTGAAATAATCATTCCAGAGAATGCAGTTGTTGGTGATGTATTAATATTAACAAAGCCATTAGGAACACAAGTTTGTTTGATTTATATTTTTAATTTAACAAAAAAACAAAGTTTCTTTATTTATATTAAGGTTGCTGTTAATGCTCATCAATGGATTGAAAATCCAGATCGTTGGAATCGTATTAAATCTGTAGTTACTGAAGATGATGTTCGTAAAGCATATCAACATGCTATGAATTCAATGGCTCGATTAAATAAGACTGGTATAACGAGTGATCGATAGTAAATGGTCGTATTTTGCATTTTCCTATTTTAATCTCTAAATATGTTTTATTTATAAAAAAAAGTAATGCAGAATGTATTCACAAGATGCAGCTTGAATTGCTCTACAGTCTGGAATCATTGGTATAATGTGAAGAGAGAGTTCGGAAGTTCCGGTTACTAAAAAATGAGAAAAAAACTAGTTTCGGTTTTCAAAATATTACGTGGAACTGAAACTGTTAAATTATTAGATGAATATGAAAATTTTAAATCTATGTTAAGAAAAATCGTTGAGATTAAAGACGTTATGTATTCCAGTAGTTTAATAGAATAGTATTATATCTACTGAAATTGTTAATCTCAAGAATAAAGTTCTTTTTTTTAACTAAAGGTAGAGTACCTAAGATAAGGAGACTCATGTTCAAGGAAAAAAATTTTCAATAGAGTTTTTGCAGTTTTTTGGGAAAACTCTGGTTTTCCATAGGATCACGTTGAGCTCACTTATGACCTCTATCAAACATTGTCCAATCCAGCTGAAATTTTGGCGAATTATTCTCCAGAGACCAAATCAACTGTTTTTCCTTTCGACTTTCCTATCTGAATTTATAGAGCCCTATGTGCCAGCACCCCGGTTTTGAATCCGAACCTTTATGTTTTTCTCTTATAACAAAAAACAATGCCAAATTTTTGAAAAAGCTTAAAACCACTCCTGTGATATAGTCTAAGGTATCTTCAAAAAAGTTTTCAGTTCTATCGAACAAGCTCAGACGGGGATCGTAAGCAGCGGATCCGATGTGGTTCTATACAAAGCCAGCTTTTCAGAAAAAAACTGAAAATGTTTTTTAAAAATTGTTTTCGTTGAACACGTTCTTCTTATTTTATATTCTATCTATGGTAAAAATTTCATACGGATTACTTGTATCCTCTCCGAGAATCAGAGATGACCAAGAAGTGAGGAGTTCTCTTAGAACCGTCGAACTAAAATTTTATAGTGAACACACGTAAATGACGAATGTATACCATGAATCTGAGAAATTTGAAAAATTCGTAGAAAATGTTTATCTTAAAAACAAAAGGTACACAATTAAAATAACCTTTATTTTGTAGATGATAGAGCTTTTCACATTGCATCTTGTGGTACTTTTTTTTTTTTGATAAGCTGTATTTATAGATTAAAATATGCGATGCAAAGTGCAACCATTTATTCTATAATTCATCGATTAATTATATAATAAAATAATTCTATTTAAGGTGGAATACTTATGCATAAATATAATGCTCATGCATGTACAGATGTAACTGGATTTGGTCTAATAGGTCATGCGCAAAATTTAGCTAAATATCAAAAAAATGAAGTTTCATTTGTTATACATAATTTACCAATTATAGCTAAAATGGCAACAATAAATAAAACTTGTAATAATTCATTTGGTTTATTACAAGGTAAAAGTGCTGAAACATCAGGTGGTTTACTTATCGTTTTACCACATGAACAAGCAGCTGCTTATTGTAAAGATATTCAAGAACAAGAAGGTTATCAAGCATGGATTATTGGTGTAGTTGAAAAAGGTGATCGAACAGCAAAAATTATTGATAAACCAAGAATAATTGAAGTACCAGAACAAGATACCGAAGGCGAATTATAGTAAATTTTGTTATAAACAAATTTCTGACGTGATTTGTTTATGATAAAATTTATCGTAGGAGATTTTTTTTCAAACAAAAAAAAATGTTTTATTTTTTCGATTTATTGTTTTTTTTTTATTACAAATGTAAAAAAAAGGATGTAAATGATGTATTAATAACGCAATACTTCAGCATATATTCTGTTGTAGTTATTAATCTGATTGTTCCTATTGAATTTTGTAAGAAAAGATTAACATAAATCGATTCATTTTTTTTTTTGTATCTCTGCTATTTGTGTTTTTTTTAAAGAAAAGAAAATTTTCAAGTAAATTTTTGCTTATCTATTTCAGATAGAATGGAGATTACTAAAGATAATATAGAAAAAAAATTACGAGATGAATTCGAACCAGTTTATTTGGTAAGCAAAAAAAATTAGAATTACTTTATTCTAAATAAGTAAAAACATAATCTTTAGTTTCTGATACAAATAAAAAAACATTTGAAGTATGCTGATAATTAAATCGTAGAAGACGATTACTTAGAAGAAAGCATTGGAACTTTGTTGTTCTTTTTCAAATGTTTAAGTATGATTGATTACATAATCATGAGAGTATTTGCTTAGATGTCGATCTAATTTGAAACGAATTCCAAAAAATGCTACTGAAAAAATTTTGATGAATTATCATCACGCTTCTATGACTTTGATCATTGAGCTATTCTGTCTCTCTTCGTGCTTGTATTGCATTTCCGATGGTACGTGACTGTTCAAACACTAGCTTCTCATAGATAATGCATATATAAAAAGAAAAAGAAAAAGAAAAAGAGATAGGATCAGTTTAGGTTTTTTAGAATTTAAATCGAAGTTGATTTGAGACTCTGCAAATCGATCCCATCTCTGGCATATACAATAGTTGTAATCAGACCAATCAGTCCTCATCAGTTGAAAGAGATTACATTGATGTACCTTTTTCTCTGATAAAATATGTCGAGAACAAGTTTGAGTGTTCTTATCAAAATAAATCACACAGTTTTATTTCTTTAATCGAGAAGAAACCATGTCACTGGAGCTACACTTCTCAACTTATTCCATGTTTGAAGAGAAACTTTGAGTTTGTTTGCAAAATCTAAGTGAAAAAAATTCATGATTTGGAGTTTAGCAATCATCTATCGGATAAAAGGCTTCATTTTTCATGCTAAATAGAGAATCACCACATATTCATCTTTGATAAAACTACCACATATAAACGATTATAACATAATATTTCTTCTTGTAGAGTTATAAAAACTGGAGTTTAAGAAGTAAAGCGAATATTCCTTTTGAAACCATTCCTATTAACCAATTGAAAATAATTCAACAAACCTACCGATTGTCATCGGTTTAAAACAGTATTTTATCTAAATTTTCTCTTTCGAAGAGGCGATTTAAAACTTCGCGAAGACGAACATATATTTTTGGTTGCACAAACACATAGTACGTGGTATAATAATCACAAATCTCGAGAGAGAGAGAGAGAGAGAGAGTTAAACTGATATTCTGAGGAACATTGTCACTCTAGATATAACATTGATCTAAAATAGTTTTTGGACTGACTCCAACTCTGATATATACTTATATTGCAGTAGAAAGAATTGGAATGACAAAAACATTATCTCACAATTAGCAATTAGAAAGATCGATTACCGATACTGAATATCTAAATTGTTAATACAAACAGACATTTTAAAGATGTATTGCACGCACAGATATATTGTATATGAGAAAATCTCTTCTTTATCTTATTCAATTAAACATCTCATTGCCCATGATTCTCTAAAACAGTGTTTTATCTACCATAAGAACTAAATAAGTGGCATCATTTCGAACATCCGGTTAAACCTTCCGGAGTTTGTCATGATGTTCTTCTCTTTTCCTACGTTATTTTCATAATACTTAAATGATTACTAGAGAATCTAATATTTTCATTTGTTCTTCGAATGTTTATTTAATTGATATCAAAATCAAAGTCTATTATTATCTATTGATTTTAGAACGTTGACGATGTTTCAAGTGGTTGTGGTTTAAAATTTGATACAACAATTGTATCAAAAAAATTCGAAGGTAAACAATTACTTGCAAGACAACGGTATGTAAATTTTAAAGAATATTTTTATATTCAATTATTTTATTTTTCTTATTTTTTATATTTATAGATTGGTAAATGATTTATTAAAAGATGAAATGACAAAAATTCATGCATTTACTCAAAAGACTTATACACCTGATGAATGGGAAAAAAAACAACAAAAAACAATAACAAATCCCGAATGTGAAACAAAAACAATGAATGCTTGTACTGGCGATTGCAAAAAATAAAATTCTTTGTTTTGTTTTTTTGTTTCATTGATAATAAACAAGAATATTTGTGCAACGAAATTAATTTATTTCTCCATCGTTCTTCTTTTTATTTTTTATTTTTTTTTATTCATTGTAGAATGGAAGGCGACGATTTAGACGATTCAATGGACGAAACCGTAATGGATAAATCTACGGATACGTCTCAAACTCAACAATCATCAACAGGTCAACCAAAAATTTATCATCGATGGACTGTAAAAGGTTATTGGCAAGATAAAAATAAACATAGTTTACCTGATGGATGGTGTGAAGTATTTCATACAAGTGGATTTCCATTATATTTTCATAAACAAACACGTGTTGTAACATTATCACGTCCATATTTTCTTGGTTCAGTAAGTGTTCGTCATCATTTAATACCTGTTACATCAATACCATGTATATATATGAAACGATTACAAGAAGAACATAATGAAAATGAAGAATTATCATCTATTAATGATGAATTAAAATGTCCATTTAAACAAGAACAACAAGAAGATTTAAATTTAACATTAAATAGAAAACGAAAACGTAGTGATGAAGATGATGTTGAAGAAGGTGAAATATCATCTCCTCATGCATCAAACATAACAAATCTTGAAGAATCTTCACCATCTTCTTCAACACAAATCATATCTGAATCAATAAATAGTGTTTCAACAGAAATTTCATCAATACGTCCAACAAAACCACAACAATTACCTGTATCATTACAAATTTTAACAAATTCAACATTAGATGATACACTTCGTTATAGTACATTAACATCTGATGAATTACGTTCGTATTGTCAACGTCGATTTGCATTTGAACAACGTGAATTTAAATTTTTTCCATCACTCGGTGATAAATGGAAATATATTCGTCAAGCACAAATGAAACGTCGTGAAATGAATATACCAGCTGATACACAAATTATTGAACTTCAACCATTATCATCAAATGATCAATCTGTTATTGTATCAGCTACAGTTAAAACAACACAACCACCTGTTAAAACATTAACAAAATCAGCATCAGAATCATCAAATTTAAATAATAAAAAAGTTACTATTGATTTATATCCAAGTAAAAGTCCAATTGCACTTTTACAAGAATATGCACTTAAACGTTTAAAAGCATCTGTTCGTTATGATTGGTTTACAACAGATGTATCAAATTCACCATTTGGTTGTCGTGTACTTGTTGGTAATAATGTTTATGGTACAGGTATTGGTAGAAATAAACGTACAGCAAAATTAAATGCAACAGAAGAATCACTTATTATTCTTTTACCACAATATAAAAAATTACAAGAACAACAGCAACAACAACAACAACTACAACAACAACAACTACAACAACAAATAGGAACTAAAGAATTAATTACAGAAGATAAATCTATGGATGAAGAAGGTTGTATTGATGATGATGAATCATCTTCAAGTGTAAATAATGTTAATAATAATAATAATAATAATGATTTAAATGAACAAGAACAAGTTAGTTGTTCATTACTTGATGAATATAGTATATCAGATGCAAATATTTATGATGTTTGTGTTACACTTGGTAAACCAACACCATATCAAATGCTTGAAAAAAGTTTAACATATAATGTATTAACACGTAGTGAATCAGATATTAAAGAAACAATGACAAAAAAACCTATGTTTACACATATAACATTAGAAATTGGAAATGAACATAGAGAAGAAGCACAAGCAAAAGATAAAACTCATGCAAAAAATTTAGGTATAATATTCAACCAATTAATCACTTTTGAGTCAAAACTATATGCTTCATATAGATCCTAATCAGCTATGAATATATTGAAAAGAGTTTGAACTTTTAGCTTATTACTGCCGAGATACTGCATGTTTACAGTATTGTTTTTAGTTAATGCCATGATCCTTCTCAGAAACACAAGGAAAACTTATTTTCCAATTTCAACTTGAAATTTTCCATAGAGACTGGTCTTAATGAGAATAGTTAATTGTGAAAGTTTTAGATATTTTCATTGTTCCTTATCCTAAGATATAGCTGTAATAAAAGCTTGTCTTTTTACACTGCTCATATACATCTATAGATTCGATGTTCTTATTTCGGGAAAGTAGCAAATCAAAAGACTGGCAACTTTCACAATAAACTATTCTGGTTACAATCTGTCTCTGCGCAAAGTTTTAAGTCGAAATTTGAAAACGAATTTTAGAGATCAGATTCTAAAGCTTATCATACACATCGCTAATGATCACTATCTAGAGTGATGGTCAAAGGTTGGCTCCCCTCTGAGCATCGGATTGACCCTCCCGGAGTTTTTAATCTTCTCTCCGAAAGAGAAAATCTGGATAAAACACTGATCATTATAATGTAAAATTAATAAAGGAAAAAAAAGGATGATAAAGCCATCGAATGAAAATTGAAATCGTTTTCATATCGGGAATTAGAAAGATGTTCACATCTAATCATTCTATTATTTATATTAAGTATTCAAGTATATTTTACATTATAATCTTATTGATTTTCCAAGTAATTATATTTTAATATGAAATGTTTTCTATTTTAGCTGCACAAAAACTATTAAAAAAACTTCATCCACATTTACATACATATGGTTCATTAATACGATTATATGAAAAGAATGCTGATACATATAAACGTGTTCGTGTCGATGATGAATTAGCTGATATAGTACGATGTGCTAAAAAAAATGAACCAAATCATGCATTATTAGCTAAACTTCGTGAAGAAATGTTAAAATTAAAAACTAATAAAACATCATCAGCTCCATTTAATCAATATGCAATACATATTGTTGATGTTAATGATGAATTGCTTGGACGTTCATCATCAACATAGAAATCAATATAAATATTTCTTTTTTCGCTCTGTTTTTACATCAAATCTGTTTGACATGAAAAAAAAGTTCATTCTTTTTTTTTTGTCTGCTTCTATTCTTCAATACTTTTCTTTTCGTGAAATAAAATCTCACACATACAAAAAAAATACAACATACAACTTGTTTTAATTAAAATTTCTATCAGGTACAACAATATGTCTTGGTATATAACCTTGACGTCCATCACCACGTCGAATAAAACGCCAATCATTATCTATTTGAGTTGTATGAACAAGTGTAACAACTTCTGATTCTAATACACTAATATCACCAACAAATTGTCGTTGATAATTTTTTGTAACACGTAAACGATTATTTGAATGATATAGAATTGATTCATTATCTAATACACTAAATGACAAACTTTTACATGGTGTTAAATTAAGTGTTCCATATGCATCATGATCATAAGCATGAAGAGATATATTTGATATTTGTCGGGATAAATTTGATTGATCTTTATTTTGACGTGTATATGTTCCTGATTTATTTATACGTGAACAAGTTAAAGATAGTTGTTCTATATTAAAATGACATGGTCCAATTGATGAAATAAAACGACCAGGTTGAGTTGGTGTTGATATAGAATGAGGTTTTTCATAAATGCTTACATTTAATAAACTTAAATTTTTTTGAGAAGACGATTCTAATGATGAATCTGATAAACGAAGACAATAAACAGGTACAAAACCAGTTTGACCTGTTTCAATAATTTCAATAAATACCCAATTTGATATAGAATATAGAGCTTTGACAGATGTACCTTAAAAAATATATAACTCTGATTTATTTATTATTGAAACAAATATTTCAGTGTAAAATACAAGATTTATCTAGAGAAGCGGTGTCCCTCCTGGCGTTTTACATCACTTTCTCGAAAGAGAAAATTTGGATAAAACACTGTTAAGATGGGAAATATATTAATGATACAATCGATTTTAATACATAGAGAATATAGTATGTTAGATCTCTATTATGATAAAATTGTTCAAATAGAAATAAAGTACAGGTGCTGCTCGATAATTACATGATCAGATAGAAAAACAAATGATGATGCCGAAAATATCACCTTTCAACATTTATCAATAATGTTTAATTATCAGTCGGTTCAAAATGAACTAACATCAAATCACACGATCTTTGAATAACTTCATATCAGATCTTTAAATTTCTAAACTTATGATTATATACTCAAGCCATTAGCATTAATTTCTCACTTATTCATTCTTTTTGTTTTCTCATTAGAACCTGTCAGGTTCAAAAATTCCGAACTCGCACCGTACTTTGACATTCTCAATGAAATTTTCTAATCAGAGTTGGATAGGCGTTCTGATACAGATCATTGGGTCCTACCCGAACATGGACTCGATCGGGTCCAGTAGTTGTTGGACCCGATGGGTTCTACGCCTAGAAGATACGAAATACTATTTTTTTCGGTGATTAGTGCATTCTGTATACATTTCTCATACGATTAAACTCCGATAGATTCTATTTTTCATTTTATATTGACGCAATTTCTCAAGATATTTTCTATCAAAAATAAAATTTATCACATTTATGTTTTCTAAATTTATTTATTTTTTTTCTTTGTATAACAGATGTCTAGACATTTAAATGAAATCAAATAATATTCTATTTGCTTCCAATTATATAGTCAACCAAAAAGAAATATTCAAGGTGGATAAAATCAATATAACGCTTATATGTCTAACTGTCTTTGATTATCGGCTTAGTCTTCTACCTGTCTATATACAAAAATTTATAATAAGAAAAAAAATATTGATTTAAACGATGATTGTTACATCGTATTGTTCATCTTAAGAAATGATACGGAAATATAGGTGTCAAAATGAAAACGAAAGCAATTAAACAGTGGTTGTTCAATTGTATAGGCAAAAAAAAAAAATTCTTAATCAAACAATCGCAAGAATTGTTCAAATAGAATTAAGTGGCAATATACCTTTCGTTACAGCAATTGTATTCTTATTAAATTGTGTTGATTTAGCATGTAAAGGTTTATATGATTGTTTTACAATCATAGATAAATTAGCTGGTGATGTTGATGTAGCATGTGCCAAGTGTTCAAATGGTTGTTCAGTATTATGAATAGTTGTCGTTGTTGTTGTTGATGATGATGAACATTCTGTTTTCGGTCTTATACGAGTTGATAAACGACATGTACTTTTACTTCTTTGTTTATAATTATAAATTTTCGAACGCTAAAACAAAAACTAATTAGATATAATATATATAATTCATTTTAAATCATACTAATTTATTAAATTTTGTTGATTTTTTTTGTGTTGTTAATGTGTCCGGAATTGCATGACGATAAGTTACAAATTCGTAACAAGCATCTTTATTGATCCGTTTACATGCGCTTGTAAGTTCTAGATAAAGAAGAAAAAAAACAAAAAAAAGATCAAACGATTGACATTAATGCATGACTAACTGCTGAGTTCAATCATTTCCGAATTAAAGTGTCCTCTTGAAAAACTGTTTAAATATCGTCTCTTTTATATTTAAATTCTTTTCTTTTATTTTTTTGTCTTTATTTCCGCATTCACGCGTTCTTTTGCTTTTCATAAAACAGATGTGTATGTTTGCAACAGACTTCATGTCTACATATATGAATATGTAATTAGAATGAGTTTTCTTTATCAACAACAACAAAAAAAAAAAAAAATTTAACGATTATCAAAACATTTCAACTCACTAAGAATATTGCAACCCGTCCACATTTTTATATGAATGAATGAATGAATAAATGAATATCAGATAGAATATATTTCTATACTCACAGCAGGATATGCTTGAGGCAATGTAAAAATGAATGAATAAAATTACATGTTATGTATTGAATCTCATCTGTGTATTATGAGTAATGAAAAGAAATATTGATTCTTATATCTCTTAAAGCAAAAAAAAAAGTTCTCTTGCCAATCTATTGTGTAATATACCCTAAGGAATAAAAATCATTTAAGAACAATTATCAAAGTTACTTCTTTTTTTTATATTGAATAATAATGTTTTATATTTACCTTTAACATGTTTACGAAATTGAAGTGTTCGAAAAAGTTTCATAATTGTTGTCGATTGATCCATTATTTTAAATGATAATATCCATAGTAGAAAACATCATTCTAATCAAATATTCTATCTTTCTATTCAATCCAAATCTAAATGAGAGAATGAACAAAAAAAAACAACACCTGTGCTTGTTCTGCTCTTTCGAACCAATCGGTTGATTTAATAGCAACAGCAGAGAGAGAGAGAGAGAAAAAAAATTCCTTCTAATTGAACATGATGACCTTCAATAAAGTTCACATTTGATATTTTTCTTTTAAGTTACTCATATGTGATAATGAGAATAGGGGGGGAATTTTTTTTAACCATGCTGAGAAACGATCAATATCTGTGATTATCACGCATTATGACGGTTATATTTATGTTCAATCAAGAATTTTTTTTATTGCTTGATTTATCTCATGGGAATATGATTGTTATCGAGCCGAGAACATTTAAATGTAATGAAAAAAAAGCAATGAAACAGATGATGATAAATATATGACGAAAGAATATTTTCCGAACACTTACTTGTGAACTCTAGATGAGTTTTTTTTGTCTACATGTTAAATCTATTCGAGAATAATAATCTGAAGTTTTCTAAAAAAAAAACTGAATATGGTAGTTTTCAAGGATAGAAATTATTTTTTAACAATGCCATTTTAAAGAGAAAACAATGAGTGATCATTGCATTTTCTCATAATGTTTTTTGGGACTTGAAAACTACCGTGTTCGGTTTTTTAGAAACCTTATCATCATAGTTCATCTACGAAATCTTGATAAAAGAAAACTCCAAATGGCTATTAAAATCACTATCCAAATTTGAGCTGGATACTTAACATTATAATTAGAAGATAAAATCGAGAGTACATTGTTGTTAAACTTTTTTCCACTACCTTATTTTCTCTTTTGTTAGAGAATTATTAACGAGGGAACATATCTAACTGTCGGACAACGTTTGAACTTTATATTATGGCTATGGTTACGTCTTAATGAGACTGAGAAACGATTAAAAGAAGTCAGGCTTATGACTTGCTAATGAAGAGGTATGCTGGTTTTATTGAGAGCAAGACATTTTCGAAAAATCCAAAGCAAAGAGTTTTGATCTGAAATTTTGTCTATAGACATTCATCAGATAGTCCTAAAAATTTCAATGAAAATGAACATGCCTTTCTTGAGATATTCAATTTACACGTAGATTTGATTGTTGTATTCTTCAATGATATATTGCGAGTTTTTTTTTTCGAAATTGAACATCTCGAAAAAGACACGTTCATTTTCATTGGAACTTTCAGGATTATTTAATGAATGTCTATAGACAAAATTTCAGGTTAAAAATATTTGCTTTGAATTTTTCGATAGTATCATGCTTTCAGTAAAATTTTCATTACAATGGCCATAATTCTTCATTTGCAGGCCATAGGCCGGAATTCTTTTAATCGGTTTTTTAGTCTCTCCTAGACATACTCATAGCCATAGTATGAAATCGAATGGCATTTGATAGTTAGATATATTTCCTTATAAGAAATATTAAACGAGAAAAATTTTTAACAGTATAAAAATTTAGTCACTCGAGTGTGCTCACGAAAAATTGTCCCATATCAAACTCTGTTAGTAAAAGATTTGACATCTTTTGTATTAAAAAAAAAATCTAGACAAGAAAATTCGAAAAAATTCTTATTCATGTCTATTATCATATTGATAACGCTTCTACAATTTGTAGCGGATTATTTCTTTGAAAAATTGTAATAGAAGTGACAAATGAGAATTTTTCTTTTAACTCATGTAATGAACCATGATAACAATCTAGATTGAACGGAAAAAGCGAATAGTATGAGCTATAAATATATTTAAATAAAATTTGATAAGATTCATTTATTTATTTATTTATTCTTATTTCCAAATAAATAAAAACAATATATTTATACAGTAACATCATTTATTTCTTTCCATAAAAATGATTTTCGTTGATCAGACTGTTTTTCAATAGTACTATTGGATAAATGACGTTTTATCCAAATTTGTTCTGTATTATTATTATCATAGAAAGATTGTTGTGAGTGAAATGTTAGTCGTCTTTTTGAACAATAAGACCCAACACTATATGTTCTTTTTAATCTATCTATTGAATAATCTATATAAATCGGTCGATTTAATGCATACATTGATATTGAATAATGTTTCGAAGGAATTGTTTTATTTGTAATAGACATTGTTGATAAATCTAATAGTTTTGTTTCTACAATAGGATATTTAGATATAGTATCACATGTTGTTGAAACAGTTGATCGAAGTGATTGTCGAATTAATGGTAATGAAATTCTTGTAACATTTGTTATGGGTGAACTGGGATACTAAACAAAAAGTTATATATATATATATATTTATTTATTTTATTCATACGACGTATTGGATTTAACACATACATGAATGAACTATTATTAATCTTTTTCTAATAAATAAAATGAGATTATTAATAGGAATACAAGAAATCCAAAGGTATGAGATTTAGTCTCAAATAACTTGGTAAGATAAAGTCAAATCAAAAATGATCTACTTTAACTAGAAAAAAGATTTTTGGTTTTGGATTTAACCTTAGACAAAAATAATATTAATAGTCATCAAACTTTCGTCTTAATTTACATGAAAATTCATATTTAAGTTTGATGTGTAGTCATTTTTGACATAATGACAGTTGTTTTTTCATTTATCGCTTCGCCTGTCAATACTTAGATGAATCGAATCTTATCATTTAGAAAATAAAATATTCAACAAATCAACGAACTTATATTTGGTTCATAGAGTGTATGTACTATATAATCGCTCATAATAAGAGTATATCTCAGTGTTAATCGGTTAAAAAAGGATCATCGGTGTTTTTTTTCTTTGAAATCAGATTCTTTTTTAATCTGACTTGTATTACATACGCACACTATTCATTAAAAAAAAAAGAAGTTATTCATACAATGGTTTATAGAATTACAATATATTGTAGAATTATATGACTAATATAAATGAAACAATAGTCATTCTCATGATGTTTTATTATGGAAAAATTGAGAAGATTTTTAATTAAAATATTCATACCGTTTCTTTACGTTTTCCAATGAATTTTTGTTTTTTATGTGATTTTAATTTTGATAAAGGTGATGTCCAAGATCTTTGATCTTTATATGATATTTGTGATGGTCTTTGTGAATAATTATTTAATGATTGTTTTGAATATCTTGGATTTAATTCATTACTTACATTTGATATACGAGCATTTCTATTTGATCCATGTAATGAATAATTTGAATGATTATATGGATAATTATATAACATATTGTCAATTGATAATGAATGTTTATTAGTACTTGATTTTAATTTCCAATTTGATAAAATATAAGGTGCACAATATTTTCTTAGAAAAGAAAAATGTGAACTAAATGTTGAACGAAATCGTTCCGAAAAACAACAATATAATAGAAAATTTGTTGAAGCATTTATAGCAACTAAACAATTTGCAAAATTATTATAAATAAGAACTTTTGGTGCTTGAGATAATATAGGAAAAAATGATTGAACTGTTAAAGATATTGCTTGTGGTATTTGACAAACAGTAAATACAATAACAACAGCAACTAAAATTTATTTATTTTAAATAATGAAAAATGTTTTATTCTAAGTATTTTTACAAACTTACTTAACATAATTGTTGTTTTTCTTTGTTCACCTTGATTTCCTTGATTATGTCGACGTAATTGAATTCCTTCACTATTTCGATGTTCATTTTGTCTTGAACGATGAACATGAATAATTAGAATTGTATTGAAAATAGCAAGAAGTAATAATGGTATCCAAATAATAGCAAATCTATAGAAAACAAAAATAAATAGTTTTTTAATCCTAAATATGAAATTTAATATGTGCTTATTTAATTATAAACGTTCTTTTTTTTTTTTATTAAAATTGATATTGGTGAATTTCTAATTATTTATCGAATACATATGTTTGAATAAATATGATCAAAGTTGTAAAATCATCAGGGTAGATATGAGCGAGATGACCCCGATCTCACAGGGATCGAGACCAGGACCAATAGTTTTTCGCTGGAAATGATATTTTTTATGGTCGTGTAAAACATGCATTCAATGTTATGTTCTTACAACTCATGTGTTCGAAAAGTTTATGCGAAAATTATTGAGTAAGGATTACTTCAATATTTTTTGTTACGATTTTGGTAATAAAATTAATCCTTTTTGTCTTAAACAGTTAAATTCTTGAACACATTAACGTGCAGAATAGATGAAGTATTAGTGATTTAGAAAAAAAAACAACAAATATCCAAGAGGAAAAATATTAAAGATCATGCAAGATGTCTCGAGTTCATTGATATTGATAAAAAATGATATCGCATTTTTCGCTGATATATGTAATACTGGGCGCGAAACTAGGACCCAAAATTTTTTCTGAGAGGGATCGGGATATAATTTGTTTTTTTTTTTGACCCAGACTGGAACCAAACAATGATTGGTGCCGTTCATCACTAGTCTAAGAGTTAATCTTTCATAAATAACCTGATTTTTTATTTGGCTCCTCCTTGTTTTGATGATTTCTACCATCACCTACTAGAAAATATACTATTTCCAGAAAAAGTAGGAAATGTTTTTTTGTTGTTTCCTGTTTGTGCACGTCTTGAAGTCTCGAAGAAATTTAATTGTAACTGATTGTTTCTTTTTGCTTGAAAGAATATGTCAAGATGTAGGGCATGTCAATCTCTTTTTTGAATTAACTTCTTTTTATTATTATATAGACTAGTATTTATATAATTAGAGCGCCTTTTTTGGGGAGTGTTTCGATACATCAAACTTTTCATCCCTTTCCTTCCCTTAAAAAGTAATAATTGAACCCTTTCGAATCGATGGATCCCGCCGGTGAGATCCGACATATTGTAACAAGAAAATGACGAGAAAAACACTTTCTTTTCCTTTTTTTCTTAGGCAGAAGGTTATGTGTAACGTATCATCTGCTTTCTCTGCTATTGTTTGAATTATTTATTGCATAGCATGATGTTTCTTGTTGAAACAACAAAGATAATAAAATTTGTCACAATCAGAGCAGAACGTTTTTATTTTCTTTGCTGTCATATTACTTGCTTCTTTTGATTGCTGTTATCTGATTTTCTCGTAGCAGTCAGCACAACGTCTTTGGACATCGTGATCCAACCCTTCCTTTTCTTCGAGTTTGAGATCAGCGAGTTTGCACTTCGTTTGGCTTGTTGATTATTGCTTCCGAACAGGTTTCAGCTTCTCTAATGGCATATCAAGCAGTAAAGATCGAAAGAGACTTTCACGAAGCTGTAGCATGGTCATATGGCTTCTGTCATAATTTTCCTTGTAAATCAAAAAAGCATTAGTACTGTACTGGCTGCTACGACAAAATCAGACAACAATAATCAAGAGAAGCAAGTAATGTGACAGCAAAGAAAAGAAAAACCTTCTGCTCTGATGGTGACAAATTTTACTGTCTTGGTTGTTTCAACAAGAAACATCATGCTATGCAATAAATAATTCAAAAAATAGCAGAGAGAGCAGATGATAAATTATACATAACCTTCTGCCTAAGAAAAAAGGAAAAGAAAGTGTTTTTCTAGCCATTTTCTTGTTAAAATATGGTGACTCCCACCAATGGGCCCATCGACTCGAAAGCATTAAGAAAAAGGCTGCGATATGCTTCCTTAAGCAAAAATAATTAAGTGTCTTACCATAGCCTCTTCACTATAGCTCCAATTTCATGTCTTGAAAATTTCATACGATTTGAATATATCTGTCGCAAGACCGATTTTTGAGGGAAAGGAAACCTTTAATAAATTAGAATTTTTTTTTTAGGAAATTTCTTTAAATTAATTATTTAAGGTGACTTTTGAATATCTTGAAACAAATTAGAGGTACAAAGAGTTTCGAATAGTGAAGGCCAGTAAGTGTAATATTGCATCTAAACTTCTCCCTCACTGAAATTCAATTATACGACGCATTTATTCAATAACGGATGTTCGTATATCTTGAATGAAGTTCAATTACCTTCTTTTTATACTTTTCATTCCAGTTCAAAAACCTATCTAATTAACAACAAAGCATTTTTTTCTATCGTACGATATATATATATATATATATGTAAAAACTAAAGTAATATTCATGAGTGATTGCTTTGTTTTCGGTAGAGTAAAGATGAACTTTTTTTTGAGTGCAACTTCAAAATTGTGATCTGTCTAGGATCAAAAATGAATTCTAGATGATATTTTCTTTTGATTAAAAGTAAACGAAGATACTTACGTAACAAAATTAAAATAAATTTGATGATATAGTAAACTACTTCCCAATGCTGTAGGTTTAGCACGTATATGATTTGTCAATAATGGTTTTTCATTTGGATTTGTCGAATTTCGTATTTCAATAATACGTACAAGTTTCGTTTCAAAAGCTGATGGTGATGTACATATTAATGCAGCAAACATAACACTTATGATAATTCTTCTTGATCGACTAACAGTACACCATGTACGACTTTGTAATGGATAGGTTACAGCAACCCAACGTTCAACTGTAAATGTCACTGTAAGCCAAACACTTGTATTTGATGAAAAATCTGCTATTGGTCGACATATTGTTAAAAGTATTGCAGATAATGAATTACCAATTAAACACGGATGTTGAAATGTGTTAAGTATAAGTGTTAGTATAAGATAGGCTATATCAACAAGAGCTAGTGTAGCTAAATAATTATTTGTTGATGACATAATCATACGACGCTTTGTAAGTACAATTATGGCAAGAATATTGCCAGTTACACCTATGTTAATCAAGAACAGAGATATTACAGACTTTGTTTTTCTTGTCAAGAAAGGATTCTTCTGTTTTTTTTTTCAGGAAAACCATACTCTTGTTTTAGTATTAATCAATAATTTATAATTAATAGAACAACAGATCTATTCTCAAATAAAATGTCAGAATGTTTTTTCTTACGAAATTTATAATTTTAGCGGTCATATGAAGATTATAAATAAATCTTTAGAAACAGTAAGAAAAATTACCGAAACAAGTTATAATAGGCCAAAGCCAAGTTTTGACCAATGTTCGAACAAAAAAAAGGGTCGGATCAGTAGTTTGTCGTGCTAAAATTGATGCATTACAATGGACAAGTCCGAACATATCTTAATATTGATCGATTCGTCATATGCAATTAACCAAGAAATATAAATATATACACAAACATTGTTTATTTTCCATTTTATATCTTCATATAATTCTTATCAAATAACAAGTAATAAATATTTCGATTATAGTATTGATATTAAAATGAGAAACTTTAAATTTGTTCTATGGCCTGAAATAATAAAAAAAAATAATGAATCTATGTCGTGTGATGACAACATAAGTAGAATTACAAGTGAGAAAATACAATGCATCTTACTATGAATCACGCACGACTTTTTTCAAAGTATTTTAATATTTTTATTCAATTGTAGAAATAAGGGATTGAGACAAAGTAATACAACCTAAGATACAACTGTCATATGCATTCACTAACCAGTCTATGAATATAATAAAGAAAGAAAAACTAGTAGAAAAGCAATTTTATTCAAGCAGAAGAAAAAAGATTAAAATGTGTTAGACATTTCCTATTGCTCTAAATGTTGTCAATGGAAAATATGACAAAGATTTACATTATAATTAGCAAATTGTTATTTTATTTTTTTACAATAGAAAAAAAAACAAGAATATTACACTAAAACTAACTCTGCTCGTATTAGTTATTATCTTAATATTCTTTTACAAAAAAGAAAACTAAGATTCAGTAATTAAATATGTAGAAAAAAATAAAAACCGTTGACTATCCGACAGATTTTATATAACTATTCGATTTATTTTTGTTTACCGTCACATAAAAAAACACTTAATCGGAAACTTCAATTCACTGAACTATACTTCCACTAGTGATGACAAAATATATAATTTCGTAAGCTTGTATTAAAATATGTAACTTATTAAAAACTAAATATAACCGTGTTAAATGAAAATTAGTATTAAAAAAGTTAAGCATTATTAGTATTTAAATTAAGTATAATATATTTGTATTATTTTAAATGCTAAGATCTATATATAGAATAAGTCTTGAACAAAATAATACCAGTATTTGAATAACTAAAAATTATTCTTATTACTTAATATTAATTCTAATTGGAAAAACTCTAATCGAAATAAATTATTTCAAAATTATTACGATAAACTCTTTTTTTTTTTTCTTCATGATTGACATATATGTGGGTTATTTTAGGAAAAAATCTTACGCGTTACGTATATGGTTGTTAAATAGAACTATAGATAGAACTAATTCTCTATAGACTTATTCTCAAAACATATAATGCTTTCGTGATCATGCTCAGAACTTTTCTGATTGAATTCATAAAAATTAATCACTACGTGCTTAAGCTATTTCTTGACAATCATATACGTTAAGAATGCTTGCATTTCAAATTATTCTTATCAACTTCATATACATATATATATATGAGTGTGCTTAATTATAGGATACTCCGATTTGTTTTCTTTCTATTATCAGTTAAAAAATCTAACCATATTTTGGCTAAATTATCATTCTTATCGCTAAACTACTAAATTTAAAATATTAGCTGCTGACAGCTGTCTTATATGAAATTACTAAAATCGTAATAATCTCATATAAGACAGCTATCAGCAGCTAATATTTTAAATTTAGTAGTTTAGCGATAAGAATGATAATTTAGCCTAAATATAGTTAGGTTTTTTAACTGATAATAGAAAGAAAACAAGTTGAAGTACTCTATGATTAAACATACCCATATATATATGTATATACAAAAAAAAACAAAACAAAATATAATTGTTTATATTCAACAAGTTGAAAATATCATTTGAAACTAATACAATTTTAATCGAATAATTGATAGAAAAGCAAGAAATTCGATAGTTAAATAACTCTCTTATAATAATTAATACCAATAAATAATCTTGAATTAAGAATTGTAATTGTAATTTAAAAATGGATTTGTTTTTTCTATTTCTGTTCTCGTTCTTATCCATCGAGACTTTTTTTTTTGATTGTAGCGAGATTTAATTACTTATCTTCGTGCAAAATATACAGAAAAAAAACGAACGCATGACAAAAAAGAATAAAAATATGTAACAGTAAATAAGAAAAATTGAGTATTTTAATAGAAACACATTTTCTAAATGTCTTTTTTCTATTATATAGTTACCAACTGTTTGTGACAGGCGTTAGACTCATATGGTTACAACGATAGCAGCATATATATATGCTGAGAAATTCCAAAACCTATTAATATATATATATATACATATATATATTTTGTAGCTTCGAATGAATAATAATAGATACCAATATATAAGAAAAAAAATAGAAAAATAATGGGAAACAAGCTCGAACAAATGAATGTCGAACTCTAAAAGCAATGTAAATTACATACAAACATATCGATAAAAATCCAATCACATATTCTTTTACACTACAATGTTATCGATTATGATGAGAATATTGAATTATCTAGTCAATATAAAAAACAAAAAATGCAGGTTTAAATCTATACTATATCATCATATGAACAGAATAGATAATAGTTATGATCTTTTTACCTAATCCAATATTAACAATAGAAGTGAGATCAAAGATTTGTAACAATTAAAACAAAAAAGACATGATCGATTATATGCTATTATACACGAACTAATGAATAATTATGTTTCTTGTCAAAGCTTTTAGGGAAAAAAAATCAAGAGAAAAAGATCTATTGATGATAGAAAAATATTCAAATATTGTTTGAAACCATTTTATATCGGATGTGCGCTCAATTTCATCACTATCTCTCAACAATATACAAAAAAAGAAGAAGTTTTGTTTAGCGAATTGAAGCGTACTTATGTTACAATAGATAAATATATACGAGCGCGCAATTGTGTCAAGCTTCATTTATCCATTGTCGTAAACAACAGATTAAACCATAGAAAACATTGTATGTCAATGTTAATGTCAAAAAGGACTTGCTCTCATTTTTCAAACTAAATATGTCTAGTATTGATAGACAATTGACAAATGCAAAAGACGTGGTAATTTTTCTATACTTAAAATACATAATTTCTCGTTTTACACTGTGTATACTCTGTAACTTACAATATCTATCATATCCATCTTATGTTGTTCTCTTCTCAAATTCATCGGATTGATGCTCTTCTAAAAATATAGAGAATTGTGATGGAGCATGAAATTTCTCTCGTCGTGCATGCAACAATCCAACTACTAATAATTTGACGAAGAAAGACGATGAGAAAATCGAACATAGAGATACAAACAATTGAAATCTATATAGAATAACGATAGGACGAATTACAAATATACTTTGATTTCTCGTTCCATCTAAATTTAAAGAGAATAATCATAGGTAAAAATCTTTTGACTAATTACTACTTAGACAATTATATTATATAAGTTCTTTACTTCTTTGTCTTTTGTTTTTTTCTGTGCTACTGTCCTCAAGAGATATTATATAGCAAATAGAGATTGGTATGTAAAGTTGATTTTAATGATCAGGTAATTTATTACTTATTATTTAATGTTGATTATTCTCTCATGTAGAATGTCACATGCATATAGCGAAGAAAATAATATAAAAATAGATAGTCATATCATATCGAACAAGAAACATAGATTTATTCTTTTTTTTTCATTATTTTAATTATAAAATAACTAAGTAATCAAATGAGATTTTGATACACTTACGATACAAATAATCTTTCAAAATTGTGGACAAATTATGAATAAGATTTCTTAGTTGTATATTTCTTTCTCTTATTGTCAGATGTAAATAAGCTAATTATAGACAGCTGTGTTAAAGGTTTTATATTAATAAAAAAAGAAAAGTCTAATAATGAGAAAAGCAAGCACGATGATAGAGACATAGTAGTAAAACAGAAAATAGCAACGTCATCATAAGAAACATGTCTCTCTCTTGCACTCTCTTTCTTTCTCTATCGAATAGAGCAATCAACCAATTGCTTCGCGCTCTTAGTGTCATATTACGTGCTTCATCAAATAACTGTTAATAGTACAAGGCATTTGAAAGAAGATGTCTCTTTGTCATGCTTCAGGCTGATATATAGACATAGAGTAACAATACCAAAGTACAGTTGAGTTATATAGAAACAAAAAAAACACCATACGATATCGATGAAATATAAATTGTATTATAAATACAAAGACAAGATCATTTTAATCGTCAAGAAAGAAAAAAGTGTATTTCCTTTTTTAGCTCATAGATCTTATTATTAGATTTGTTTCTTCAACCATTCAAACAAATATTCACTTATTCTTTGAAACAAAAAAATTCATTGTAATCAATCTAAAATCTATCAGTTTATTAAATTATCAATTAATAAAAAAATTTATTTCGTTATAATATAATGCATATTACAATGTTCAATTCAAAAAAAACAAAAATCACATATAAAATTTAAATTTTCCAATATTATCATGATTTTCTTTTTCTTATTCTTTTTTTCTTTCATTTCACTTTTAAATATAAGATCATGTCATTCATCATTCATCCATATATATTTGCTTTGTCACGCGCTATACTCAGTAGACTTCTATTGAAATATAAGATATTGATGTGCATGATTAAAAATGTTTATCTTTATAATTCTTCTATCGTTATTAATCTTAGCGATACATATTTCTAGATCACGATTTAAATCATTAAAAAAAATCTTATCAAAAATCTTTATTATGATTTGATGAAAAATATTCAAAACAAGCTTCGCCATCAATTCGTTAATAATTAATATAGAATAAAACAAAACTATAGTTTTCAAATAAAAATCATCAAAATTTCTATCGAAATTGAAAATTTTCATTCAACACATAGTGTAAAACATTATTTAATAGATTATTTATTAATGATAAAAAAGAAATTATTTGATTAAACAAGTTTATGACATAACAGAAGTAAAAAAAAAGATAATAATCTAGTTTATCAATGTGCTGAAGTAATTTTCCATATGGCTGAATATGAAACAATCATTTATGGTACAAATGTTACATCAATAACTAATATATCTAAGATAGATTTTCGTGTTAGTTTATTTAGATTAGAATTATT